TCCCTGGCTGTGTTTGGGGGGTCAGGGATAGGATCCCATTGGGTTTCTGTGGGCTCTTGTCCTCCCTGGCTGTGTTTGGGGGGTCAGGGACAGGATCCCCTTGGGTTTCTGTGGGATCCTGACATCCCTGGCTGTGTTTGGGGGGTCAGGGATAGGATTCCATTGGGTTTCTGTGGGCTCTTGTCCTCCCTGGCTGTGTTTGGGGGCTCAGGGACAGGATCCCATTGGGTTTCTCTGGGGTCCTGACATCCCTGGTTGTGTTTGGGGGGCTCAGGGACAGCATCCCCTTGGGTTTCTGTGGGATCCTGTCCCCTCTGGCTGTGTTTGGGGGCTCAGAGACTGGATCCCTTAGGGTTTCTGTGGGGTCCTGACATCCCTGGCTGTGTTTAGGGGGTCAGGGATAGGATTCCATTGGGTTTCTGTGGGGTCCTGACATCCCTGGTTGTGTTTGGGGGCTCAGGGACTGGATCCCCTTGGGTTTCTGTGGGGTCCTGACATCCCTGGCTGTGTTAGGGGCTCAGGGACAGGATCCTATTGGGTTCCTGTGGGGTCCTGTCCTCTCCACAGGTTCCTTGTTGTGTTTAGGGGTCTTAGGGACAGGATTCCATTGGGTTCCTGCAGAGTCCTGTGCTCCCCAGGGTGCCTGGCTGTGTTTAGGGGTCTTAGGGACAGGATTCCATTGGGTTCCTACAGTGCCCTTTGCTCCCTGGTTGTGTTTAGGGGCTCAGGGACAGGATCTCATTGGGTTCCTGTGGGGTCGTGTCCACCCTGGGGTCCCTGGCTGTGTTTGGGGGCTCAGGGACAGGCTCCCTTGGGGTTCCTGCCTTGGAACACAAACAGAAGCAGCTCCCAAAGGAGCTCTGGGGTCCTGTGGGCTGCAGGTGGTGCTTGGGGCACGGTGACCTGATTGCTAGCCCTGATTTGGCCATGGGTTTGCTAAGTGGACTGGATGATTCCTTATAAAATGTTTATAAAATGCCTGGAGAAGGTGGCTGGGCACATTGTGTGCCCAAATACCAGCGATGAAGGTGAGGAGGAGGAGGGAAGAGGAGCAGGGGCTGGGCAGGGTTGGCACAGGCACCTGGACCCAGCTCTGAGCCCTGGGAATGGCTGACCTGGGGCATCCATGGAATGTGCTAGAGGGAATGCCTTTCATCCTTTTGTGCACTTAATCCAGCCCAGTCCCTCACTTAGTGTCAGTCACAGCAGAGCAGGAGCAACACTACATTGTGTTCCTCTTTCAAATCTCTGTAAATGAATACTTGATCAAAAGAGAAGACACTGTGAGATTCTGGAAGAGTTTCTAACAACATACTCTGATTTTTCTCAGCAACTCCAGCTGTGACTTAGCAAGTCTCAGTTTTCTCACAGAATTGAGATATTCCTGTAATTCCAGGATATTTCTGCCAGCAACAAAACCTGCTGGAGAGGTTCAATATACCAAATTTAGAGTTCCTTTTCACAGTGCTCTGATTTTTTATTACAGATTCCTACATGCATAAATCAGGTGTGTGAGTTTGCTCACCTGCTGCCTCTGTGCCACCCGCAGGTTTGGTGATGGTGGCAGTGTTCCTGTTCTTAAAACTAATTAATTAAACTAATTACCAGCCCTGAGTTAAAGCCTGGCTGCCAGCAGGCCCTCCCAGTCCCTCCCAGCACTGATGCTGGGGGGCAATGGGAATGGAAGGCTGGATTATCCATGGTTCTGGG